GCACCTACCCTGCCGACACTACCTCTAAGCTCCCGACTGGCTTGCAGACAAGAAGTGTGGTGCATGGAAGAGGGTGGATGTAAGACGTGAAGGAAAGGACAAGAAATCGGAAAGAAAGATCGCGCGCGACCCGTTTAGGACCAGGTTTGCCTGGTGTTGAATCGGAGATACCACAAAACTGCCGATCAGAGCAGTCGGCCACAAGAATTCTCCTCCAAGTAGGAACTGACCTATCTAGCTGGTGTCGAGAATCCTGTGACCGCCGAGATTCAAACCCTTGGACCTCCTGATCAGAGACATTGCAGTGACATCAGTTGTCGCCCTGAGCCAACCAGGAGCCCAGAGCTTTGGGGGTTTAGCTAGTAGAAAAATCGTTCTACTTTACAATTTCGAATACGAAGTTATATTCGTAGTAACCTGAAAGTGTTTTAATACTGCGGAAAATGAATTTTCAATTTTTTAAATGCAGGTTTTGAGGTCCTCATACTGAAAAAGTTATAAAAACGTGGAACGCCTGTCTGCCCCTATACCATCTTCACCGCAGAAGGGGAGGCTCAGACTCGCAAGACCTGAGTGGATGAAGTAACGCCCATCCGGACCCGAGTTACTTGTCGGTACACACGTCGTTAGCTTAAGGGGGGGGGCAGTGAGAAACTTGTTCACCACCGACCGTTGGGCAGAATTGAGTGCGGGACTTGTCCCAAACCCACTTATAAAAGCCCGACGGGAAGCATGAATCTCAGGTTGCGTAGATTCCGGCGATACTCACGTCACGTTCCGGCGGAATTCAGACACCACCCGGACTGTGTACTTGCACGACGGAAGAGTACGCAGCTCGAGAAGCCAAGGCGCACACCCAAAGGAGCAGACCTGGAAAACAAGATTTGTGTGTGGGATTGTAGCCTTGCAACATATATAAACAATGTGTGTTGATTTTTAGTTCGTGCTTAATGTGCTGCCGTAGCGATCATCCGATTGCGATAAAAGTTTGTCAACGTATTGCTTGCACTTCCGGGAAGAATATGTTCAATTGAAATGTGCATATGTCAGGGTACAGCGCGTTGATGATGATTTTATGTAGACTCAAGGGCCCTGAGCAGGTCGCTGAGTGTCACGGCGCTCTTTACGCAACCCGCCGCACATTTAAGTATGGTTATTAAGACGTCTTCATTGCGAATTCTACCCCTGCCATTGCGATATTTCTCCCGGAAGAGACAGATACAGAGGAAGATAGAGACGCAGAGACAGAAACAATCAGAGAAAGATATACGGAGAGAGAAAGTCTTTCGTCTATTGAATACTTAGAGAGTGTTATGCTCTATGACCACGGAGCTCTGACAACCGCGCCGGTCGCGACACGGAGGAGTGGCAAGAGAGGGTAGCCGTAAGAGAGAGACGTTAAAGGTACGCGAGACGGCGAAGTGTTTGGAAGTGGTTGCGAGAGAGCGCACGAAAGAACATGATCTTGCTGGGACACTAAAACTTCACATTTATTATTTTTTCCCACAATAATATTAAAATTCTGTATTTTAATTTAATAGGTCAAGGATCACTGGATAAATCGAATATTCCAATAAAAACTATTATTCAAGTCAGGTTTCAAAAATTTAAATTTTAAAAACGTTTCGACTTCATTTTCAGACGACCTCACAAATGAGAACGAAAATATTTTTAAAATATAAAATGTTGTAACTTGACTGGAATCATCGTTTTTATTGGAATATTTTGATTCAATAATAATTAAAGATATTGAAATAGGATTTGAGCTAAAATTATTTCAAATAATTTTGATTTTTGTACAACAAAAAAGATCCCCAAAACAGTATAAAAACCATTGTTTTCAATTTTTTATGTTTTTGAAAATTTGAATTTGTCGTCAAAAATAATTCCCAGTATTTTTGGTAAAATTATATGATTTTCATCCTGAAATCTATATTTTCATAGAAAAGTGATTAACTTTTGAGTCATATGCGTATAAATAAAAAATGTTTTTAATATGACGCACCAATAAGAGATATCTAAAAAATCAGTAGTAAAGAACGCCTTAATACCAATTTGTAGTTTTTTTTAAGTTGTCACTCCAGATACAAAACGTAGAAAAATATCGAATAAAAATTTAATATTTAAAAAAATAGAATGTCCCTCCAATGTTTATTGAAAAGCTCCCCAAAATACGTATAGATGTCACCTATGTCTCATACCTTTTTCTGAATTTCATCTCGGAGTAATGATATGAAACGTCAAGTAACAAAAATTCGTATTTTTCTGATATCTTACACAATAATCAGGCATCCGTTCTAATGTTTTTGGGAAAATGGCATTCAAAATAACAAGCCCTCTACTCAAAATTGAATTATGTGAACAAATATCGTAGGAAAAATATTTGCGAGCGAAAAAAACGTATTTAATAATTTTCAAAAATCTATTCAATGATACAAAACATGATTCATTGGGTCATTTTGTATTGCAGATTCAGATTCTTCATAAAAAAAGTAAGCAAATTGTATCTGAATTTTTTTATTCGTGATTGATGGCGCTATAATCACAGAACTAACTTTATTCCAATTTCGCAGCAAATGTATGGAAACGGTCAGTAATCTCAGTAATACACTTTAGGGTCACAAAATAAAAAAAAAAATGCGTATAATATGTCAAAATTCGCTTTCCGGGAGTGGGACGGGGAAAATTTAAAAATGGGTGATTCCATTTAACATTTCGAAATTGACCCCCACCCCAGGAGGCGGGGTTGCGGGGTCGTGTTTGGCAACTTTGAAAATATTTTTTTAAAATATAAATTATCTACTAGTTTGTTTTCAGATTCGATGTGTATTTCTCGAGATATTAGACTGTTTCGAGTCTTAGAGAATCAGGATAAATCATATTTTTCCCATTATAGCGCCATCTATCAAGAATCGAAAAACGTTTTAGGCAAAACCTACATAATTTGTGGGGTAGTATCAGAATCTGCAATGGGGCTTTCCATTTTACATTTTGAAATGCCACCCTCCAGATGATGGAGGACATATTTGATATCACTGAATAGATTTTTGATAATTATTGAAACAGAACACTGTTATGTTATTTATTAGTGTGGGAAATTAAATCAGTGTAATTAGGTCATGCATTTGAATGTGTGTGTGTGTGTGTGTAAACGTTCCGGAACGGTCAAATATCTTAAGAACAACATTTGCGACCGAAAAAACAAAAAAAAGTACGAATTGAATAATTTTACGACATAAACAGTTAAAAACGGTTACAATGGGGAAAGTGTTATCTCTGCTCGTTTTCTTACTCTTGGATCCCTACCCTAAGCCATATACAAGTTGAATACTGCATAGAAAGAAAGAAAGAAAGAAATTAGGGCTTGGGATAAGAATTTTTAACAAATATTCGCTCCGAAGTAATAAAATTTTCAAGGGCTAATCAGCTATAGATTTGGGCTCTTATCAGTCATCGCGTCATTCTTGAAGGAATAATACTTCCTGCCGCGACGTGGAGAACGATGACTTGAATAACTATATTTTCCAATGAATTCTAGAAGACGTGCACAGAAAATGAAGTTGTATTTATGTTCAGAAGCAAAACAAGGGGTTATCTCAGCATTTGTTCAAAGGATTGGGCAAACGACGAAACACCTGATCGATATGAAGTTCATTGACCCACAAGATGCGGTACAATGCCTGTTACTGCCATTCAGTATATTACATTCATCAAACATATGAGTCTTATCATTGACTTTACGACATATGCAATTTATTGTATTGCTACTTTCTCTCTGACCAATGTACTTGAATAAACTCGCATCCGCCACTTTCACGGGTTGCGTTGAAGGAAAATTGTATCTAGTGTCACTGAATGGGGAACTAGTGAACAATCTTACATTTCTTCACACTCCAGAGCTGTCGACATCCAGATTCTCATCAGCTGGCTCCTAAATAGTATGTTTCTATCGCGCTTGGCGCCCTAAAGAAATTCAGCGCACGCAAATCCGAGCTTCATTTGGCGCTCACTGTGATCCACACTAGCGCTTCATTACAGTATAAAACATCAATAAGGTGTACCCACTTTTTCGTTACCAGGACCGGTGACTAAGAATATTTTTGTCCAATTTTTTTCGCCACATGTTTACAATATTCTGTTTTCCTAAATATGTAAGGACTAGAAAGTAAAAATAAATATCTTGAAAATTTTGATTTTATAACTTTTCACAAATTTTTATTTCTTTATTTTTAACGAACATCCCCTATTACAAAGCAGCTCCCTTTTAAATCCTTCTATGAGATCCTCCGCATTTTCAGCCCCTCTCTAAGGGCTTCCACTCCTCCCGTTTATTACATGGCGGCCACCTAGCTCTTTGCAGCACATTGCCTACCTGCTGCGATTTAGTGTGATCCACGTTGCCTGTGTAATAATTTTTATAAAGTTATTTCTGTCTTTTATATCTTTTTGTCCTTTCTTACTATCATGTTCATTCTTATATTTCCTTTGCATTGTTGTAGATCTACAGAAGATGGTGAAAGTGTTCTCCGATGTTTTTTATTCATTTATTTAGCCAAAAAATAGTAAAAATTGTATGTAACATATGGGGAGACTTAGGGATGTTTTAATAAATATTAAAACTTATATTGGGTGATCTGGGCTGTCCGGGTGATGCCGCGTCGAAGGCTGAGTTGCCAACGTTTCGACCATCCTGTCGTGGTCTTCCTCAGGGCTGGTATCAACCAGGACCAGACAAGAGGAAGACCACGACAGGATGGTCGAAACGTTGGCAACTCAGCCTTCGACGCGGCGTCACTCGGACAACCCAGATCACCCACATGACTCTGGTCGCGGAAGCCTACGACTTCATTCAACTAAAACTTATATTGTTATGGTTTGATTATTTCTTACTTCATATTATGAAGTACCACAAAATCTGCTACCACCACAGAATTTATATTTTATAAAAATATCAGGTCATTAATTCAAAAGAAATAACATGTAATTTCCTTGTTCCGCAGAGCGACTCCGGAGGACCGTTTGTAATAAACGACATGCAAATAGGTATCGTGTCGTTTGGACTGGAATGTGGAAGAGCAGGTAATCCCGGGGTATATACAAATGTATCAGTATTGCGATCCTGGGTATTAATGAACGCTGGTGTTTGATATCAGTTGCGTGGTCTTAGAAGAACACTTCAGCTAAACGACTTTCAGTTGTTTCAAAGTAGTGTTGTAAGAATTTATGATACGAACATCGCTTCGAACTTTAGATTGCGTCATTTTTTTGTTTTACTTTCACTGCGAAACCAATTTTAGCAGGTTTACTGCTGTGTGGCCAGAATTGTAAATTTCCCTAGGGTTCATTAAATACAAAATAAAAATATTGAGTTCTTGTTTGAATGGGCCCAGGGAAAATAATTTATTATTGAAGAGCAATTTGTTACAATCATCCGACATGTCACCTCTCAACAGTTTAAGATATTGTACTCTTGAGCTGTGATCAAAAAACCAACTAGTGGTGCAATAAAATGGTGCACACTTTATATTATAACTTATTTTCTATTCTCTTGAATCACATCTAACTTTTTGGTTCTTTCCCACCCCCTTCCTAGCACCTCCCAATCAACCCCCTAAAAGACCTGCGAGTTCCTTTCGCAGTGAATATCACCTACCGCTCCTCTGGAGATTTTCACAGTGAATATCACCTTCCCGCTCCCCGAACATCGAATGGGCCTATCTTTGTCCTGTGTCTTTACATAATTGCTCTTGTATCTTTTGGCCCCTTCTCAGCATTAACCACTGTTTTAGGTGTACAGGCTGTTTCCTGTCAGGTCAAGAGATTATGAAGGTTTAGTATATAGGTGACAAAAGAGACTCGGAAGTACGCCACCGAGACAATTTAAACATTGGCATGCCATACGAGTAAGCGTGTTACTACAGCCTTACAGTACACGTACTTGGGCTCACATGCTCCAAGCCTTTATCTTAACAACTATATTTCCTTGTCCATTGCGAGTTCTTTAATAATACCATGTATTTCTTAATCTTTTAGTAGCTTTCGCGCAATATTGTTTGTAATATTTGCAATTTTAAAAAATTTCACAAGGAAAATTTTCTGATATACAGCTTCAATTTTTTCTTTAAACTATTGATAGGGATAGTGTTAAATGTTCTCTATGAGATGATATAAACGCCATATTGCTCTATTCTTTTTCTCTTTTCGATGGGGTAGTGTTAGTTGTACTGTTTAATATGATGTAAAGTTAATTTCGGGATACTTTTTTGTTTGGTTGGTTTTTCTAAAATCATACAAATGTAATTTTTTTGGAAGATCTCTCAAACTTTCTTGTATTTTTGAGATAATATGCGTTAAATGACTTCAAATAAAGTTTTTCGAAAACTCAAACCTTTTCTGTTGAAAAAGAGCGTCAAATTTCAAATTTACAGTACTGCTTAAACGCCATTTGTTTGAAACTGCCACAAATGTTTCAAAGAAAACTTTCATTTATGGCGAGGTTTTACTGTTCTTTAATATTCTTAACATAATATTTCCGTCCTACTGTTATGAAACCGAAAAATTGAAGAAAAGGGAAAAATGTACTTTGGGCGGTGATACATGGCAGCTGGCAAGAGTTTGTGACATGTCCGAACAACTTGCAGAGACCAAAGAAATAGAAAACAAATACGGGTAAATTTAACACCACTAGTTTCACATTTTCGCAATTTTTCGGACCCCTATAAGTTGAATTGAAATATCATTTGGAATAATCATGATTTTAACAATATCGTCAGTGAACTATAGGCAACAGAATGGCACAGACTTTCCCTTATTAGTTTTCTATTTCCTAAGTAATTTAATGTATGTTAACTCACAAACACAATAGTGTTTACAAATGACTGGAGTGGTGCATATTAACAGCCTGAGAGAACTTTCAAAGAAATTAAATTTTTGTAATTTGTGGGAAAAAAACAAAGATAGAGCAACATGAGGTTTATATCATCTTATAGAGTACATTTAGCACTATCCTACCAAACGGTTAAAGAATAAATTTAGATCCGTATGTGAGAAAGTTTGTTTTTGTAATTTTTAAAATTGCACAAATATCTGGCATTATTGTGCGAAAACCACCACAATTTTTAAAAAAAGTATATGACCTTAATAAAAGAACTCACTATTGAGAACAAATTTTATTTGAAGGAAACATTTTTATCTTCAATTTTGTAGTTGTAGGAAGACGCCCGAACAATTTTGACATTTTCGAAAATTCAGAGTTCAACCTGAAAATCTGGCCTATGCCACCTTATAAGTGTATTTTACTCTATACTTACAAGAAATTTAAATAAAAAAAATTGGAGCCGTTTTGAGAAAATTTTGAAAATGTCCTGGGGACTTCATGTAAAGAACTCTCAACTTTTAAAGATTTTTTTCAAAATCTCAAGTCTTCTACTCTAGACTGACGGACAGATGTTTGTTCATTTTGGAAAAACCCTACGAGTTTTTAAGCGCATCTACCCCTCTCTCTCCGGTTGTGGCTAACCTTTTCGTGGAGGCCTTCTAAAGGGAAGAGAATGGCCCACTAAAACCTACTGTATGGCTCTGGTAAGTGAACGATACACTAGTAATGTGACCCCACAGTCCTCACATCTTAGATGACTTCGTCCAGCACCTCAACAACACACACCCTAAGATTAAGTTCACATCGTTCACAGCACGTTGTGCTGGTGAGTCGGAAAGCGAAAGGCAGACTAGGACACAGTGTTTACCGGAAACCTATTCACACAAACCGCTATCTGCACGCCGGCTCTGATCATCAGCCGGCAACTAATCGGGGGTTTCGAAAACTCTGGCCACCAGAGCAACTAGAGTGTGTGATAAGGAATCGTTTGACTCTGAAATGGAGCTCCTAAAGCTAACGGTTACAGCGCTAACGCTGTCAAGCCAGCAGTACGGCAGGCTACGACCTCTTCCAACTCTGCTGATATCACCACACCTAGTGACGATACCATCCAAAAAATAGCCACTGTACCGTATATACGAAGTCACGGATAAGATTGGCAAGTTTCTGAGCCGCTTCGATGTAAAGACGGCCAACAAAGTCCAGAAAAAACTGGGGCAAAAGCTTATACGCGTGAAAGATCGCATCTCTCCACTTATGTCATTAGGGGTTTACGAGATCCCATGCAGTTGCGGCCAGTTACATTGGTACCGTAGAGGAACGCATCCAGGAACATATTCGTCATTATAAATACAATAATACGAATAAATCGGCCGTAGCCCCGCACGCATGGAAAACTGGCCAAGCCATTCTATTTGATGACACTCGCCTCTTAGCCAGAGAAGGCAGCTGGGGTACGAGGAAGGTAAACGAGACGGTGGAAATTAACAAACACTCTCATAACCTTAATGCTGACTAAGGCATACATCTACACGATACATGGAAACATCTATTTTACCAGGACGTCCGGTCGATCGGACGCGGTCCTAGCTACTCCATAACGTCCGATTACGGACGGAGCGCCTTCTCTCACCAGGCGGGAAGCCCGCCCCTGATTGGCCGGTGCACTCTCTCCGCATTGGCCAACCACTCGGCCAACCGGCACAGTAGAGGGGAAGATTAGCCCTATTTTAACTCATGCCCAGTACATATCTGTGTATTACGCCCAGAGAAAGGTCGCAGAATGGCTAAGTCGGAAACGTCTCGCTCTCAACCTCGTGAAATGCGTCGCCGTCAACTTCACTCGTAAGAGGGCTAACCCCAATGAAACGGTGAGCTGGGTTGGCACGCATCTATCTTGGCGGAGCGAAGCACGATATTTGGGCGTGCTACTCGACAGCGGTCTTCGCTGGCATGCGCACGCTCGATATCTCGCTGCCAAACTTAAAACTCGCACCCTCCTTTTGAAATCTCCTCTCCGTTCTCCCCACCTCGCAACACCTCTAAAGCGCCGCTTATCCACAGCTTACGTGCGACCCTTATGGACGTACGCATGTGAGGTATTCGCGGCCGCTTCTCCCTCCACTCAGCACTCCATCCGGGTAGCAGAGAACAGAGCGGCGCGCCTGCATTTGCCTCTTACCAGACCCGACCGACCTCCCAAAAACGCTGACGAGTTTAGAATCTTAGGCGTTCGCAACCAGTTCCCGGCGGAGCTACACAAGAGGGCGGAGACGGCGCTCGCAAGGGCGCTGAGACCGTCCGCTACGCGCATCCTGCGCGAGACCGGCAATGCGGCGAACAGCGGCGTGCACAGGGCCTTCCACAGAAGAAAGGGCCCACAGCACGTCGCCTTCACCTTCCGCGCATTGCCCCCGCACAAGCTCTGAGCTCTGCGACGCGGCGAAGCAGCGTGTGCGTGGGAGGGGATCGACGCTTACGGATGCCGAAAGCCGCGCGGGCGGCGCGGATGCGCGCTCCGCTGGGCCAGCGTCGCTGGAGACCGAAGACGTCGCGGCGCCACGGACACTTGAGTGAAGTCGGCGCCGTAGCGTGCATAAACGTGTATATGGTGTTGTAAAGTGTTGCGTGTTGGTATGAATGAATGCTTTTGTAAATATAATTTTGTAAGTATGAATGCCAGTGAGAACAAAATAAAAGAAAAAAAATAAAACAATTCAAAGGACTCCAAATTAAATAATTAAAAAGTCTAAAAACTAACAAACCCCAAGGCGGAAATGTATAAGGTTATAAGATAGTTTTAGTTAGTCTGTAAGTAAAAAAGCCCTCCCTAACTGCACAAGCCAATTCTGCAGTTGAAAATAATGTATTCCGAATGTCAAATAAATTCCCGCCCCTGCAGGGTAACAGGAGAGGGGAAAATATAAAAACACGCAGAATGGCGACCGAAACATCGGCACCTTTAGCATGGACGCGGCGTCACCCGGACAGCAAATTAAATTCTGACTCCAGCTGCGGAAGCCAACGCTCTATTTCGCGAATGTTCATTCCCGCCTGAGATATGGCATACTATTTTATGGGGAAATACATCTTATAGCTCCCAGACTTTTAGATTACAAAAACGAATTGTACGAATAATAAGCAAATCCCACCCACGTGATTCTTGTACGTCTCTCTTTATTAATCTAGATATTTCACCA